GGTGAGGGGTGTGGCTATGCAAATGAGACACGGCCAGGTGAGTGGGCGTGGCCAGGTGAGGGGTGTGGCTATGCAAATGAGACACGGCCAGGTGAATGGGCGTGGGCAGGTGAGGGGGCGTGGCTATGCAAATGAGACACGGCCAGGTGAGTGGGCGTGGCCAGGTGAGGGGGCGAGAGAAAAGGGAAATTTGGGCAAATTTCGGGGGAAAACGGTAAAAAACGGGCTGAAAACGGAGAAATCGGGAAACGGGGCAAAATCCGGCGAAATTGGGCAAAAAAAAAAAAAGGGGGCGGGGAAATGGGGGAGGGGCGGGAGGGAGGAAAATCGGGAATTTGGGATTTGGGGCGAAAAGCGGCAAATTCGGGCAAAACCGAGGCCCCGCCCCCCGCCCACGGCCCCGCCCCCCACGCGCCGGGGACCCCGCGTCCGTCTGTCCGTCCCTGTGTCCATCCCAGCGTCCGTCTGTCCGTCCAGGGTCCATCCCAGTGTCCGTCTGTCCGTCCCAGTGTCCGTCTGTCCGTCCCTGTGTCCACCCAGTGTCCGTCTGTCCGTCCCAGTGTCCGTCTGTCCATCCCAGTGTCCATCCAGTGTCCACCCAGTGTCCATCTGTCCATCTGTCCACCCAGTGTCCATCCAGTGTCCACCCAGTGTCCATCTGTCCATCTGTCCATCCCAGTGTCCATCCCAGTGTCCGTCTGTCCGTCCCAGTGTCCATCTGTCCACCCAGTGTCCATCTGTCCATCCCAGTGTCCATCCCAGTGTCCATCCATCCATCCCAGTATCCATCTGTCCATCCCAGTGTCCGTCTGTCCATCCCAGTGTCCATCTGTCCGTCCAGTGTCCATCCCAGTGTCCGTCCAGTGTCCATCTGTCCATCCCAGTGTCCATCCCAGTGTCCATCTGTCCATCCCTGTGTCCGTCTGTCCGTCCCAGTGTCCATCTGTCCATCCCAGTGTCCATCCCAGTGTCCATCTGTCCATCCCAGTGTCCATCCAGTGTCCATCTGTCCATCCCAGCGTCCGTCTGTCCGTCCAGGGTCCATCCGTCCATCCCAGTATCCACCCAGTGTCCATCCATCCATCCCAATGTCCGTCTGTCCGTCCAGTGTCTGTCTGTCCGTCCCTGTGTCCATCCCAGCGTCCGTCTGTCCGTCCAGTGTCCGTCCAGTGTCCATCCATCCATCCCAGCGTCCGTCTGTCCGTCCAGCGTCCATCTGTCCGTCCCAGTGTCCATCTGTCCATCCCAGTGTCCATCTGTCCATCCCAGTATCCATCCCAGTGTCCATCTGTCCATCCCAGTGTCCATCTGTCCATCCNTGGGGCGAAAAGCGGCAAATTCGGGCAAAACCGAGGCCCCGCCCCCCGCCCACGGCCCCGCCCCCCACGCGCCGGGGACCCCGCGTCCGTCTGTCTGTCCCTGTGTCCATCTGTCCGTGCAGTGTCCATCTGTCCATCCCAGCGTCCGTCTGTCCGTCCCTGTGTCCATCCCCACGTCCGTCTGTCCGTCCAGTGTCCATCCAGTGTCCACCCAGTGTCCATCTGTCCATCCCAGCGTCCGTCTGTCCGTCCCTGTGTCCGTCTGTCCGTCCAGGGTCCGTCTGTCCATCCCAGTGTCCATCCCAGTGTCCACCCAGTGTCCACCCAGTGTCCATCTGTCCATCTGTCCATCCCAGTGTCCATCTGTCCATCCCAGTGTCCGTCTGTCCATCCCAGTGTCCACCCAGTGTCCATCCAGCGTCCGTCTGTCCATCCCAGTATCCATCCCTGTGTCCATCTGTCCGTCCAGTGTCCATCCAGTGTCCATCTGTCCATCCCAGCGTCCGTCTGTCCGTCCCAGTGTCCGTCTGTCCATCCAGTGTCCATCTGTCCATCCAGTGTCCATCCAGTGTCCATCTGTCCATCCAGTGTCCATCTGTCCATCCAGTGTCCATCTGTCCATCCGTCCACCCCTCCGTCCATCCCAGCCCCATCCCGACCCCTCCCGGCCTCACTTTTTGGGGCCATTTTCCCATTTTTTGGGGCCATTTTCCCATTTTTTTGGGGCCATTTTCCCATTTTTTGGGGCCATTTTCCCATTTTTGGGGCCATTTTCCCATTTTTTGGGGCCATTTTCCCATTTTTTGGGGCCATTTTCCCATTTTTCGGGCCCTTTTCCCATTTTTACCCCTCTTCCTGTATTTTTTCCATTTTCCCATTTTCGGGACTTTTTCCCATTTCCGGAATTTTTACCCTTTTCCGGAACTTTTACCCTTTTCCGGAACTTTTTCCCATTTACGGAACTTTTTTCCCATTTCCGGAACTTTTTCCCATTTCCGGAACTTTTTTTCCCATTTCCGGAACTTTTTCCCATTTCCGGAACTTTTTTCCCATTTCCGGGACTTTTTTCCCATTTTTTGGGGCCCTTTTCCCATTTTTGGGCCCTTTCCCCATTTCCGGCCATTTTCGGGGATTTTCCCGCTCCCTTTTCCCCCTCCCCGGATTTTTTCGGGGGTGGGGGAGGGGAACCTTCCACCTCTTTTTTGGTTTTTTGGGCAAATTTTTCCCTTTTCCCCCCAAATTTTTTTTTT